ATCATAATAACAACTTTAGTTTTTGTATAAATGTGGTACAGAAATTTATTAAAAATTCAGATAAGAGCCAGGCATGGTGGCCACCCCTGTAATCCCAGTGGCTCGGAAGGCTGAGGCAGGAGGATCACAATTCAAAGTCAGCCTCAGCAATTTAGTGAAGCCCTGTCTTAAAATAAAAAATAAAAGGACTGGGGTGAGCTCAGTGGTTAAGTGTCCCTGGGTTCAATCTCTGGTACCAAAGGGAGGGAATTTTTTTTTCTAGATAATACAGATTAGTACAGAGAAGAACATAATTTAAAAATCCAGCAATGATGTACCACAAAGAATAAGTTTTTAATCTCTGGCCCTAGTTCTTCCCAGAAACCTGGCTACTGGATACTACCTTCCAAAGAAGTCCACAGTCTTAAATAAAAGCGTGGCATTTTTCCTTGCAGTAACGAGATCGTTGCTGCCTCACCCCAAGCAAGCCTGTATCCCAAGGGACATTGTCTTTGCCCCAGGATCTGATTTGGTTCATGGACCCGTTTTTACTCATTTAATTATCACTGTTGGTGGTGGTGCTGGGGCCTAACCAGGGCCAGGTCGTTCTGGTTTCAGGCCAAGTGGCTTGCCTGTGCTGGGAGGCATGAGCTTCACCTGAGGCTCCCCGTGTGTGTTCTGGTGTCTCCCTCCCACCCTTCAGACCATCCGCTCACCTCTCACCCCTGTGATTCCAGTGTCCTTGGCTGGGTCTTTCTAGAAATCCTTGAGTTCATTTTAATACTGTTGGCTCAGAATCTCAGACACTGCAGGTTTACAGATTTGCGTTACTCAAGAAAGAGAAAGCTGCCTTGGGGTGCATAATTAAAGTTTTTGTTCTCTGGGTTTGAAGATGTGTGTTTTCTCAAATATTGAAGTTTGGATATGGTTACTGGCAGTTCATTGAAACTTAAGAAAACTAATTCTAAGGTTTTGAAGTCTTTAATCTGTGCTAATGAAGAAGGTAGAATGACAGCCAGATGCAGTGGTGTATGCCTGTCATCCCAGCCACTCAGGAGGCTGAGCAGGATGATCACAAGATCAAGGCCAGCCTGGACAGTGTCTCGGTGAAAAACAGGAAGGGCTGGGGGTGTAGCTCAGTACAGAGTGCCGTGGTCCTGCCCCAGGACTGCAGAATGCAGCACAAGAGCCACAGCCACCAGTGCACCAAGAGCCGTGAGAAGTCAGGCAGGCCCTGCTCCTCTCCCCAGATGCTTCCCCACTGCCCTGCCAGCAAGGGGGAGGTGCTGTTGGGAAAATGGCACCTTTCGAGATGTCCGTAATTCTTGGTAATGCTCTCTCACGTCCTCCGTTTATAGTGATCTTCATCCCAATTCCAGAGGGCTGTTTCTTTCTCCAAATGCCACCCCTTTGACCCAGAAAGTGGACCAAGGAGTTACGGCAGCTTTGCAGGCCTGCCACTTGAGGAGGAACTTTGCCCAGGCCATTGCAGCTGAGGAGACATGCAGTTCAGAAAGGAGTGGGACATCTGTGGCTATATCAGGACTTCGCCTAGGCTCGAGGGGATGCCACCCAGCAGTATGGATGGCGTCTGGCAGGAGACACTCAGGAGGTTCCTCCAAGACCTTGGATGATCTGCCAAGGATGAGGAAGTTGCAGAAATCAGCAGGGCTGGGGCTGGGATGTAGCTCAGTGGCAGAGCACTTGTCTATTGTGCAAGGCCAGTAATCCCCAAGACTACCACCAAGACCAAAACCTCAGCAAAGCTGTCCTCGAAGTGGCGCCAGCTTAACCTGGAGTTGTGCGGACTGTACTGAGGAGCTTCTAGAGCCAGCTCCTGAGCAAGCAGCCAGCAAGGGGACACAGCTGAGGAGGAGGCAAGAGACAGGGAACTGCAAGGAGCAAGAAGAACCCCAAGAAAGGTTCCAGAGAATGGCTTAGTAGCAGCTCCTGCAGACCTCTGTGAGCCGAGAACTGAGAACACGAACCCCACACGAAGAGGTTCTCATTAGCAGAGAGGAATGCCCGCACACACCACCTGCCTGCAGTCTGATGAGCAGCAGACGTACTGGCGGCCAGGCAGGTCCCCAGGAGGCATCTGGAGGAGGCTCTGCCATCACAGATGGGGCTGTGCCTGCACCACTGCCCTGAAGACCTCCAGCGGACACATGTGGAGGTGGGCAGGGGTGCCTGGTCTTGACCCTTAATGGCCTGGCCATGCATGCGTTCATGCCTTCAAACTTTTTTTTGGTGCTGGGGATTAAACCCCGGGGTGCTTAACCACCAAGACACATCCCCAGCCCCTTTTATTTCTTATTTTGAGGCAGGGGCTCACTCAGTTGCTGTGGCTGGCTTTGAATTTGCCATCCTCATGCCTCCTCCTTCCTAGTCCCTGGGATTATAGGTATACACCACCACCCGGTTCACTTCACGTCTTAGGTTTGGGTTTTGGGGTGTGTGTGTGTGTATTTAAGTTGTAGTTGGACCCAGTACCCTTATTTATTTGTTTGTTTATTTATTTATTATGTGGTGCTGAGGATCAAACCCAGCATTACTAGGCAGGCACTCTACTGCTGAGCCCCAGCCCACATCTTAATTTTTAATAAAAGCTAGCTGTGGTGGTGCACACCTGTGATCCCAGTGACTGGGGACACTGAGATAGGAGGATTCCCAAAATACAAAACAAAACAAAAAAACTTCAGAAAGTAAAATATTGTAAAAAATTAAAAACAGAAAAATGTGTTTATTATTATTATTATTATTATTATTATTATTATTATTACTACTACTACTACTACTACTACTACTACTACTACTATTTGGCAGGGTACCAGGGATTGAACTCAGGGGCATTCAAACACTGAGCCACATCCCCAGCCCTTTTTTGTATTTTATTTAGAGACAGGGTCTCACTGAGTTGCTTAGCGCCTCACCATCGCTGAGGCTGGCTTTAAACTCTCAATCCTCTTGCCTTAGCCTCCTGAGCTTCTGGGATTACAGGCGTGCGCTGCCAAAAAAAAAAAAAAAATGTGTTTATAGACTAGCTCCAGGAAAATGTGCTTATAGAATCAATATATTAAACAAAAAAAAATAACCGGGCGCAGTGGCCCATGCATATCTGTAATCCTGGCTACTCAGGAGACTGAGGCAGGAGGATCAAAGTTGTGATCCTGGGGTGCTCTACCCTGTGCCAAATCCCTGATTCTTTTTATTTTTTATTTTGAGACAAGGTCTCCCTAAGTTGCTGAGGCTGGACTTAAACTTGTTTCCTCCTTTCTCAGCCTTCCAAGTCACTGGGATTACAGTCCTGCACTGCTGTGCCTAGCAAGTAAAAAGATTTTTAAATTACAACAGGGTGGGTAGTAGGTTCAATCCCAGCAACTCTAGAGACTGGGTGCAGCAGGAGCATCTGGAGTTCAAGGCCAGCCTGGGCAAGACAGCAAGGTTCCATCTAAATACCTTAAGGTGTACAAAGAAAGGAAGAGAAGGGTACTAAGGCTGATTTATTATTGAAGAAAAAGCCTCTGTGAGCTAGGTACAGTGGCCACACCTGTAATCCTAGAGGCTCTGGAGGTTGAGGCAGGAGGATCTCGTTCAAAGCCAGCCTCAGCAAAAACAAGGCCCTAAGCAACTCAGTGAGACCCTGTCTCTAAATAAAATACAGTATAGGGCTAGGGGTGTGGCTCAGTGGTTGAGTGCCCCGAATTCAATCCTGCCACCCCCCCCCCAAAAAAAAAAAAAAAAGCCTCTGAGGATTGAATGTGGTCTGAGCGCAGTGTCTGGTCTTTGTGGTGGTGCTGTCCTGAGGCTCCCACACCTCACCCGAGCTACTTCCAGTCCTGCACGCTGTCTTCCAGTGCCCCAGACAGGACCAGCTCTTCTGCCTATGACACATGCCTCACCTGTGTTTTGCATGCTGCCGGGCATTGCCTTGCATTACCCACTGTCGAGTACAGAGCCTGGGTGACAGGAGCTGTGCGCGTGGCCCCAGCAAGTGGTGGGCTCTGCTGTGCGGGTCTGTGTAGGTGACTCCTCGGGTCCATGGTGCTCAGGACCAGCCCTGCTGTTACACAAGGCTTTCAGCAGCTTGTAGCGTTATTTTCATCTCCAAATGACCGATGATCTTTTCAAGTACCATGAACCATCTGTGTATCTTTTTATTTTAGAAGGGTTCAAATCTTGTTCCCATGTTTAAAAAAATAAATAAAAACTGGGGTTTTGCTAGGGACGTAGAAGTTATTTAGCCTGTGTGGCTCTGGGTTTGCTTTCCAGCACTGCGAAATAAAACAGACAAAAGCCCTGCGAACCCAGACTTGCTGTGGTGGCAGCCGAGTTGAGCAGAGTCCTTCATGTCCCGCCCAGTCGCGCCTTGGACTGCTGCCTCTGTGCTCTTCCTGCCAGTGTTGCAGTGGGGATCCAGGTCTGCTGCCTTTCCACATGCTTTTTAGATCAGTTAATCAATTTCTACACAATGTCTGCTGGGATTAGAGCTGGGTTATGTCCACTCTGTAGACCTGCTTGAGGAGAAGGACGCGTTAACAATACCAAGGCCTCCTATTTAGAGATACCGGCGATTGTACCCAGGGGTCGCTACTGTTAAGCTACACTCTCAGCCTTTTTTTTTTTTTTTTTTTTAAGTTTTTATTTTGAGACAGAGTCTCACTAAGTTGCCCAGACTAACCTGAATTTAGATCCTTCTCCTCAGCCTCCTGAGTTGCTGGAATTGCAGTGTGTGCCATTGTGCCTGACTAGCTTGTATGTCTTTTGTTAATCGTAAATAATTCGTGACTTTGGGTGCTGCTGTAAATGACATATCTAATAAACTTCTAATTGGTTGCTGCTGTCAAAGCTCAACTGTGTGGGGTGAAAGTTAGACCCTTCTCCCTTGTCTCTGCCTGGCTCCCTTGTCAGTCCTAGCTGCTCTGCACATAGCCACAGTTTGTGTCTTACTTCCTGGGCTTTATGCTTTTTATTTCTTACTGCAGCATTTAGGAATTCTAGAACAGTGCTGGACAGAAGTGGGAAGAGCAGCATCCTGGCTGTGTCTGCTCCTCCTCAGCTCTGACCAGCTGGTGCTAAAGCAGGAGTCCCACCACCTGCTGCTCACAAGGATTGATCTCCAGAGTGGCTCACAGAATTCAAGGAAACATCTGCTTCTGCTTCATCTGCCTTACTACGAAGGATACATTAAAGGATACAGGCTGTGCAAACGGCCTGGTGGGGCATGCATGGGGCGGGTCGTGGGTCCTGGCACAGGTGTGTCCCTGCTAGTGGGCTGAAGAATGTGCATCCTGTCACCTTCAGAGCTCCTGGTGCCCTGGGGGTTTGTGGCCTGTACTCATGGCTGTCTTGTTTCTGTGGAGTGCTTGTGGCATAGGCCTGTCTGATTGATGGGTTACATTACGCCACGGCCGCTGGTCATTGGCTGACCTCAGTTCCTCTCCACCCAGCTACCTGTCCTGCGGTTCTCTGGGACTTTGCAAAACTCAGCTTGTCAATGTGAGTCCAGGTGAGCTTGAAGGACTTGTATGTAACCTGCCGGAGCACTTAGGAACCAAGGGCAAAGTTAGTCTCATGCCCTATTGGATGTGGCTCAGCGGTGGAACACTAGCCTAACATGAAAGCCCTGGGTTCAACCCCCAGCACGTAAAAAAAGAAATACTTTCTAATGTCCCCTGTGATTTCTAATTTGAATTCCATGTTATTTTGTAGTGTGTTGTTTAACAGCAACTATTTCAGGTTTTCTTTGCTCTCTTACTCTTGGGTTTCTAGTTTAATTATTAAGAGTCACGCTGTGTGTGACTGATTGAGGCTTGTTTCAAGGCCCAGTGTGGAGTATCTGTAGGTGCATGAGTAGTGTGCATGGAAGAAGCATGCTGGGTGCTCCACAGACCTCAGGTTGTGACAGATAATGGAACTGTCTAGTGTCACTCCTGATTTGAAAAATCTGTCACCTGGGCATGGTGCACACACCTGTAATCAATCCCAGGAACTGGGGCGGCTGAGGCAGGAGAATAGCAACTTCAAAGCCAGCCTCAGTAGCTTAGTGAGACCCTGTCTGAAAATCTATAAAGGGGGGCAGGCTGGGGATATAGCTCAGTTGGTAGAGTGCTTGTCTTGCATGCACAAGGCCCTGGGTTCAATCCCTAGTACCACAAAAAAATTTTTTAAAAAGTAGGGGCTGGGGTATAGTGTAGCTTAGTAGTAGCGTTCAATCCCTAGTACTACAAAAACAAATGGATAAAAAATAAAAATAACTGTCAGTTTCTGAGAGGGGTGTTAAAATCCTAATGGTCTCGCATTTTATGCACTCTGACCACCCTGCTGTGTTAGGCTTTTTTTGGGGGGCTGTACTGGGTATTGAAACCAGGGACACTCAACCACTGAGCCACATCCCTAACCCTTTTTTGTATTTTATGTAGAGACAGGGTCTCATTGAGTTGCTTAGTGCTTCACTTTTGCTAAAGCTGGCTTTGAACTTGTGATATTCCCGCCTCAGCCTCCCAAGCCGCTGTGTTAGGCTTTTAGTCCACTGACACTGAATCTCATTTTTGGTATGTTTAGGTTGACATTGCTTTTCTGTTTGTTTCCTAGGTGCATCTGTGTTATATGAATGTTTTTAAGAATTTTATGTTTCTTGAGGCTGGGGTTATAGTTCAGTTGGTAGAAGCTTGTCTTGCAAGCACAAGGCCCTGGGTTTAATCCCCATTACCAAAAAAAAAAAAGATAAATAAATAAATAAAATAAAAGAAGAAGAATTTTATGTTTCTTAGCTGGGCATAGTAGTACACACTTATAATCCCAGCTGCTTGGGAGGCTGAGGCAGGAAGATCTTGAGTTCAAAGTCAGCCTCAGCAAAAGCAAGGCCCTAAGCAACTCAGTGAGACCCTGTCTCTAAATAAGATACAATATAGGGCTAGGGGTGTGGCTCAGTGGTTGAGTGCCCTACCCTCCATGCCACATCCCTCAAAAAAGAATTTTAATTTCTTTAAACTTTCTACCTCGGGGCCCTGACCATGGCTGGCCTGGAACTCCTGTCTCAGCCTCCCGAGGAGTGGGGTCACCAGCGTGCACCACCACGCTGGCCCTTCTGTGGGTTTTTATGTAGCTGGGGGATGATAGTGACAGTGTGACTCTTCTCCCCTTGCTGAGGCAGCAGTGTCTTGGCACCACAGGAGGCGTGGGATGCTCCTTCACGTCCACAGGGCTGGGAGCCTGGCTGTAAAGAGTGTCCAGGTGGCTTTGCTTTGGTCTTATGAAGTTCCTCAGTGCACCCTTGCTGTTCCTTCCTCTCGTAGAGTGACCTAACATGGCAGACCAGAGGCAGCGCTCACTCTCTACCTCCGGAGAGTCACTCTACCATGTTCTTGGGCTGGACAAGAATGCGACCTCAGATGACATTAAAAAGTCCTATCGGTAAGAGGCGGCACGCGGGCCCTGCACGTCCCCTGGACAGGCCCCTTCATGTACTGTCACCGTGCTCTTGTAGGAGCTGGCACAGCCTTTCCCCTGGAGGACTCAGTAGTGGCTGATGGTTCTGCTGCTGCCTCTCTGCAGGTGTAACATGCTTCTCACAGCTCAGTGCTGTATACTGGTGTTCTCTTAGCCAAAAAAGCAGCACTTTGTGGATGCTACAGCTGCACACAGTTCTGGAGCGGGTGGGGCTGTGCAGCGAGGGTGGCACCCCTGTTTTCTGCCTTGGCCTTCTGGCTATTCCAGGCACTTGGCTTGGCTGCTGTGGCAGGCGGCAACCTAGACCACAGAGGCCTCATCACTGACCCCTGCCTGGGTGGCTGCATCTATGCTCCCAGGTTGGCATGTGCAGTGGCCCAGCAAGGACACCAGGGGGCAGGAGGGTACCGTTGGTGATTCTGAAAGTGGAGAGAGGAGTGGGGCTGGTCCTGTTGCCCTGGCTACCTCTCGACCCCTCCCTGTGCGGAGCCAGGTTGGGGGGGGGCATCCCCCTGGCATGCCAGACCTCTGGGAAGTCGGGAAGGCAGGTGGTGATGGGTGGGCCCTCCTTCTCCTGGGCCCTCCATGGCTCAGTGCACAGTGCCAATCCAGGAGAGAGCCAGCAGATGGTTCTGTTGCAGGAAGCTTGCCCTGAAGTACCACCCTGATAAGAACCCTGACAACCCGGAGGCCGCAGATAAGTTCAAGGAGATCAACAATGCACATGCCATCCTGACGGACGCCACGAAAAGGAACATCTATGACAAATACGGCTCCCTGGGGCTCTACGTGGCGGAGCAGTTCGGGGAGGAGAACGTCAACACCTACTTCGTGCTCTCCAGCTGGTGGGCCAAGGTGAGGGCCAGGGCGGGGCCAGCACTGGCTGCATGCACGGGCCCTAAGTTCCTGAGAGGACCAGGTAGGAAGTGAGCCTTCCCTTCAGTCGTCAGGGAAGGCATCTTGAAATCTAGTGTGAAGGACCCCCGACTTAGGTCGCTGGTTGTGTTTTTATTAACTTTCTTGCTTTCCCGACTTGCCACCTCACACAAGGCCAAGGGATATGGCCCTTGGCTGTGGGAAGCCCTCCCGTAATCACCCCCTCTAGGCAGCTGTCTGCTCTTCCCTCCTGCCTCTCCTTCCCAGCAGCTTCTTCCTTCATCCCCATCTGAGAGACCCTTCCTTAGCTGGAGGCCCGCCTCTGCAGCCCGTGCTCGGGAGCCCTTGCAGAGGCTGGGGCCCCAGAAGCCATGGGTGCCTGCCTTTCCTCCGCAGGCCCTGTTCGTTTTCTGCGGCCTCCTCACCTGCTGCTACTGCTGCTGCTGTCTGTGCTGCTGCTTCAACTGCTGCTGTGGCAAGTGCAAGCCCAAGGCCCCCGAGGGGGAGGAGACGGCCTTCTACGTGTCCCCAGAGGACCTGGAGGCACAGCTGCAGTCTGATGAGAGGGGTGAGTGCCTGCCCCCGGGTGCGTGTTCGTGGGGCGCCGTCACGTGGCCCTGAACGTGTCAACTGTCTTGTCAAACAGGAGGGCACTGACACTGTGCCGCGAGTGTTTGTGGTGGCAGCTGGGACTGTTGAGGTGTGAACGTGGACGCTGAGGTAAAGCAGGGGCAGAGAGCTGTCCCCGCCCGTGCACTGTGGTAGCCATAGATCCAAGGGGCAGGAGGTGGGCGGCAGGCAGGCGGGAGGATGAAGGGTGGTGGTCAGCCAGCAGCCTCTCCTGAGTGCCGTCCAGGTGGCCGAGTGTTGTGACGCCAGGACCCTGAACTGGGCACATGCTGGCTACTACCCTTGTGCAATGAGCATGTCTGCTTGCTTTTCAGAGGCCACAGACACGCCAATCGTCATACAGCCCGCGTCCGCCACAGAGACCACCCAGCTCACGGCCGACTCCCACCCTAGCTACCACACTGACGGGTTCAACTAGGTTCAGGAGGAGCTGTGATTCGAGGAGGGATCAGCACCCGGCCACCGCAACCTTAGATCCATGAACTAGTCACCAGATGGGGAGGCGCCGCGTCGGGGCCTCCCCTCCTCCACGCCCGCTGCCCGTCGACCCTCGATACCCGAAGTGCGTAGCATGCAGTATTTAAAGCAGTGTAGCTACGGTCTTCTGCTCTCCTTTTCTAGTAGCATGTATGGTCGTGTTCAGTGTCTGTGTTGTGGACCTGCTGTGGCTCGGCCGCGCTCACTGGACAGTGGAGCTGCCTTGGGGTGTTTAGCCAGGTCGGTCCAGTGAGGGTGGACTGGGCAGGAAGGGCCTCTGTGCTCCTGTGCTCACGGGGCTGGGGTCAGATTCTGCCCGGCAAAGCCACATCTCCACCTTGGCCATGGGGTCCCAGGGCAGGGCCTGGCTCATCTGGCCCATCAGGGACAAGCTGGGCCAGGTCCTCTGGAACCACAGGGCCATGGTTGTCCCTGGGTGTTACATTGGCATGGCGTGCAAGGGCCTCTGCACCCTGTCGTCTTCTCGTGGCAGGTCACTCCAGGTGGTAGGTGTGATGTGGACAGTGTGTGCACACACGCGTGCACTCTGCACGGTTGTCTGCCCCGGGCCTCTTTGCTTCAGGGTCTGAGGTTCCTGTCCATCGAGGGGTGCCCCTCCCGGTGCGTGGAAGTCCTCCGTCTTTGTTCCTGAACCTTCCCAGGCTGAGCTGGACTGATGGGGCCGTAGTCTCTCTCCCCTTCCCTGGGTTGTTCTCCACACTCCTTAAGCCCTCCTGTTTTTTTTTTTTTGTTGTTGTTGTTTTGTTTTGTTTTGCTTTGTTTTTAAGCCCTTTTTGGACTTTTAAGAATCACAAGTGGTTGCAGTCAGAGGGTGTGAATCCAAGTGGGTGGATGAAGGACGCCAGTGAGCCCCCAGCCTCTGGACCCTCCTCCTCGTGCTAGCCAGAGCTCCATCCACCCACTTGCCTTCACTTGCGCCTGTCGCCTGTGTTCTAGTCGGCACTAGAACATAGGGTTTCTGGAGCAAGATGGCTGGAGCCAAGATGCCCCTGGCCTCAGGAGGGCTGGGTCCCAGCGAGACTGTGAGACACCCTGCTTGCCAGCCAGCCTGGAAGACCAGTGCTGGACGAGACTGTGAACCGCAGATCTGTGGGTGGCGCCTTGGTGGGTGAGCTGGGGAAATGTGAGCACCACATGTCAAGGCTTTGGGGCCACCTGGTGCCCCCTACAATTTCCTGAACGTGCCGGACCAGAGTCCAGTGGGCCGAGTTCCTGCAGGACTTTCCCGAAGCCTGCTGCCGAGCATCTTCTGAATTTCTAGTAGAGATGAAGAATGAGAAAACTCCTATGCTGACCACGTGGCCCTGACAAACCACCTTGAGCTCCTGAATCCCTTCACCCCCATCCCCACTCCCTCCCACCATGGGCTCCTATTTGCCAGGGACTGCCAAGGGCAGGTCTTTGGGATTTTGGTGTTGGTTGAGGGTACCCAGCAAGGTCCAGTGAGGCTGCTGTGATGCCAGGGCCCCCGGCTGATCCTATTGCAGGTGGACGTGGGCAAGGAACTGCCCAGGAAGCAGTCCCTGGGGCGTGTTTGTCCGTGTTGTCATTGAACGATCATGAAGGTACTGAGCAAGAGGGCCCCACACTAGGGTGCTGTGTTAGGGCCGTCCCCCTGTGGAGGGTGGGAACCACCAGTGGGCCCACCGACTGCTCAGCAGGCAGCCCAAGGGCTAGTCCCAGCACAGCAGCAAGAGCTCAGCCCCCGAAGCTTTCTTGCGATAATTCGAGAGCGAGTTGCTTTCTCAGAACCCAGGGCCATAGTCTGATGAAGAATGAGAAAACTCCTATGCTGTGGGACAGCCCTCCTGGCATGCAGCCCTGTGGTTTTTGTCTTGTGTCCCTGTGAGCTGTGGCCACTTCTTAGGAGAAAGGATCTCCCTGGGTGGCAGCTGGGGTGGGAATAGCCACTTAGCCCAGTGTCCTGTGGGGGTCTCTGAAACTGAGTGAATCATGTAGGATTTGGAACACCACACACAGGACACAGGCTCTGGAGTGAGGGCCGTGGCTCTGCAGCCATGGCCAAGCATATCCCTCACCTGCTCGAGGCAGACAGTGCCTCATCGTGCACTGCGATGGTCTGTGGCTGCCCTGGTTCTGTTTCCTTTTTAATAAGCACAGCTGGTGAGTCTTGGGGGTCAGCCTGACCCCCATGTCCCCAGCTCCTGGGCTACACTTCTGGGCTGTGGACAGTGTGTGATGTATTGCCTGGGGAGTGCTATGGTCAGTGTGCTTGGAAACCCATCCAGAGCAGTGGTGCCCCGCAGGGTCCTGGCCACCTATGGTAGCTCTGGGGTGTGTAGATCCCTGTTCCTGCCCAGGGCTGTGGTCTTTCCTTGTCTTCCTTTGGCTTCATTCTATTTTAAGCTGCTTTAGATATTGTTGCCCCATGTCAATGAGCCTTCCTAGTTCTCTGGTGTTCAGTTAATGCAGCCAGTGTCCAGTGGGAACCTGTCAGGAAGAGAAGCCAGAGTTCCCGCGGTCTCTGTGCTACTTGCTGGACTGGGCTGCAGCTCCAGTCTGGAAAGGTCCTGAATCATGAAGCAGTCAAGACTCGTCTCAGCTGTCCTAACCCAGGTTTTAGCAGCACAGGGGAGCTGATGGCCTTGCAGGCTGTCCCTCAAGGGTCCAGGTGATGTGGACAGAGGCAAGGTGGGTCCTGCCCATCCTTGACTTCAGTGCATCTGTGTGGTGCCTAGCTGGTGAGAAGCATGGCAGGCGCTGGTGCCACCCCTTTCCCAGTGCTGAGCTGGTGCCCTGTAGCCCAGGACTGGCCTGTTTGTTATTTGGGTTCTGAATGCCCTGCTGTGGACAGGTGCAGCTTGTGTTGCCAGGTGCTGTGGTGCAGGCTGTGTGTCTGTGTACATGTGTGTATGTATGGACCACGCAGCAGGCCCCGCGTGCTGCTGTCCAGGGGTGAAGCAACAAGTACAATAAAGTTGGCTCCAAAGTGGCCTCTGTTTTCTTGGTGAGTTGGGTAGGGACAGGGTCTCGGCACGGTCCTCCTGGCGGATACACCCAAGGGAACAGCCTGCTATGTGCAGGATGCGTGTGCCTGAACACAAGGTCAAGACCCCACCAGCGTCAAGCATCAGCGGGGTTGGGCACAAGGGTGACTGTCCTAAGCACACGTCATGTTCACCTGGCCCACAGGTGTGGGAAGTGTGGGAGGTGGCTGGAAACTCCCCTCCCTGGGCGCCTGAGCCAGTCAGTGACAAGGTTGCATCTAAAGAGCAGCCTGGGCACCTGCCTGCAGGAGGACTGGGCCAAGGGCCCCCCAGGTGGTGCCTGTGGCGGACTGGTTGGCCTGGGAAGCTGGGTGAGGGAGGGGGAATACACACTGACACGCACACCACAGGTGCTGCTTCTGAGAATCAGGTGCGAGTGTGGAGAGCAGCAGCCCACAAGCTGGTTCCACCCAGCTGCCAGGATGGCCTGCTGACCTGGCTCCACGCACGTCTCCAGGGCTGGAGAGCGAGTGGTCTCCTTGGTGATCTCTGTCTTGTGTGTGTCTGAATGTTGACCTAAAGTAAAGATAACTTGTAAAATAAATGTTTTCACTGCAGAAAGTGTGTTTTTTGTTTAATGATCCCTGCAGAGTCTCGTTTTTTGTTTTTGTGTTTTGGGAGGCAGGTTTGTTTTATTTGTGACAAACACTTCCCACCTGCCTGGTCCAAGTGCACACCCGCCTTCCCAGGGTCCTTTTCACTTGATTTTCAAATACCAAGACGAATCACAGGAGGGACCTCTGAGCTCCCGAGGGCCACCAGCCCAGGAACTTGGACCTCAGTCTTGGAGGCCTCCTGTGGCATGTTGACCTCCAGTGGTTTGTACCAGAGTAGGTGACCCCTTGCCAGGGAAGTCCTGTGGTCTTCATGGCCACACCAGGCCTGCAGCCAACATTAGTCCTGTTCGTACCATCCACCTGTCTGACCATCAGGCTCCTACCTGCGTTTCCTGTTGTCTTCCACAGATGGAGATTCCTGCTGCCTGGTAGTGACCATTTTGACTGGCCTCAGTTCTAGGATGAGCAGGTGCAGGGGTCTGGAGCAGCATATGTGGGTGCCCTCATGAACCAGCTCCTGACTTGGCATGGCCCTGCCTGATTCCAATCCTAAGCATAAGGAATTGGGGGAGAACAGAGGGCAACTGGGTAGCTCAGCTCTACAGTAGGGCCAGCCCTCCTATTCCCTGGAGCAGTGACCACAAAAGCTGAGCTGGTCACTCCATCTCTGCCCACCTCTGTCCTGGCCATTTGGATTTCCCAGGGCTGAGCTGTAGTGACTCTGTTCCTGCTACGCAGTGTCTGAGCTGGTGGTGCCCCGGCCTTGCACCCCAGTATCTTTGGTGGTAGTCCCCATCCTCCCTGTGGCCTCTCACCCAGCCCTCAAATGCCAAGGTCCCTGGGGTGCTGTGAGACACATTTCATCCCACTGCCCTGGTGGCAGGGAAGTAGCAGGAAGCCCTCTTGAACACAGTGCGGCCTGCAGCCTGGAGTGGCTAGCCTGAGCTCTTATGCCTCTGTCCCCCACCCCCGGAATGAGTCCAGTTTGGGGATCCTGTTGGAAATGCCAAGTCTGCCCAAGAGCATATGTCCCTAGAGAGTGGTTCTGTATACAAGGGCCTGGAGCAGAGCACCTGCTGGGACCAATCTTAGACTCAGGCCCAAGGACCCTAGTGCTTAGGCTAGAGAAGTGGCCCTGGCCCAGGTGGCCCACAGGTCTGCCTTTCAGAACTGCAGGTAGAATTTCCCTGTGGCTCACATCCCTTCTGCAGGGTACAGCCTTGGCCAAACTCCCCTCCTGCTGTCTCCGGCGGGCGCCCAGCCACAGAGCAAGGCTTGGAACTGAAAAACAGTTTATTTGAAGCCAACTAAAAACTTTTGGAGGGAAAAAGGTGCAAGAATACTAACAGTAACGAAACACCCTGAACCCTCCACTCATACCTAGAATTAAGTAATTTGATTAGGATTTTCCATAAGGGGGGGGGGAATGGAGCTGGGCGAGGCCTTGGGTACACCCGCAGCACAGCGACAGCGCGGAAGGCTTCGGAAGACATCGCAGTGCCCTTCGCGTGCCCGCCTAGGCTGCCCGGACCTGTGAGGAGCTGGCGCCGAGTCCGGCCGCGGGAGGGGGCGGGGCGGGCGGGGCTCCACCTCCGCAGCCCGTGCGCGGATGGGCCGCGCGCTCCGGACCCAGTTGCGCGGGGATGGCGCGGACAGAATCCCGGGCAGGGCCTGGGAGGACGCGGACGGCCCGGCTGGCCAGAGGGGCGCGCGGGGAGATTCGCCAGAACCGTCCCGCGGTCACCCCAGGTGCAATCGGGCCCGGCGGCGCGCTCGGGCGGTGGCCCCCGGTTACAGCTGTGGGCTGCGGAGGCGCGCTCGGGCGGTGGCTCGGGGCACCACCAACTTCCAAGCCGGAGGGCGCAGGTTTCTACAAACGCGAGTCCGAGTCCCGCGCTCAGTAGGCGGGGTCCCCTGCTGCGGGAATACCGAAGGTCCGAGTCGGTGCCAGCCTCGCCCTCGAGCCCCCACGGGCCTTGGCCCCCAGATGGAAGCCGGTTGGTGACCAGAGGTGAGAGGCGCCAAGGTACCCGAGCCGGGAGCTTGGTCCACCAGTCGCCCCCGCGGACGTCACCGCTGTAGTCACCATTGCTTCGCCAACCCGCCCCTCCCTGGACCCCGCTCTATATCAGCACCCACATGCGAGCTGCCCGTTCCTCTCCTAACTCTGGCACAGCTAACCCAAAGCCATCTGCTCCATAGGTCTCCGTCCCGCCGCCGCCTCCCCACACCAGCTTCCCTCGCTCCAAAACCTCCAGCCTGACCTTAGGAAGCTTCAGAATACCATGGCCTCCAGGGCCCTCTCAGCTGCTTCCTGCCGCCGCCCCTCAACCCTCAGGTGCTCCACCCAAGATGCCCTTTTCCAGGCTTCTTTGCCAGTCCTTCCTGACTCCAGGTGGCCCAACGCTGGTTCCCTGTGTGTGTAGGGCACCATCCTCCCCTAGCGCAGCCAAGCCCAGCCCTCCGTCTGCTGCTCACGCATGCTTGACTCTTCCTGTCAATGTGATAGCCACGTGTGCCTTCTTTGGGGACTGGGCCTCAGGTGCCCCAGGCTTCCCATCCCACCCAGCCAGCGTACCTAAAAGGCCCTTGCTTAGCATCTGGATGACCATTTTAAATTTCGTTTTCCGCCTAAGGGCGTTTCTGAGAAACCCTCACCACTCCCTCATACCAACCCAACCATTTTCACGCCTGCCCCCCCCACCGCATTAAGACCCCACTGGCTCTGATTCCTGAGCCTCCCCATGAAAGTCCCAGAGCTCAAGCCTGTTTTGCCTCTCTCCTATAGAGAGATGGTCTTTATTTGTCAGCTGTGACAAAGTCTCCTGTATCTCTGCCTGGTCTCCATCTTTCATTTCTCGCTTACCTGTGTCTCGTACCCATCATCACCCTGTGATAGTCAGCCGCTGCTGGGAAGGGGCAGCACCTCACGGGCTGACGAACCTGAGATTGACCCTAGACACTCACCATTCTCAGGTTGGACAGTCCTGGAGGCATTGCCCAGGGCAGCAGGCAGAACCAGGACAAGCGAGCTTCTCCTCTGAGACCCTCATCCTGAGTACTCCACAGGAACCTCTGGTCTGCATACAGGGTCCTCCTGCACTCCACTAGGTTCTGAAGCTGCTTTAGGCCTAGCAGACTATTGCTGTTTTTTTTTTTTTATTAATTTTTTAAAAAATGTTTTTGGTACTGCGGATTAAACTCAAAGGTGTTTTACTACTGAGCTACACCCCCAGCCCATTTTACTTTTTATTTTGAGATAGAGTCATTCTAAGTTGCTCAAGCTGGACCTGAACTTGCCATCCTCCTGCCTCAGCCTCCAGAGTCACTGGGTTACAGCTGTATGCTGCCATGCCTCACCATGCCTGGCAGGACTCTTGCTCTTGATTTCCCCTTCCTCCAGGGTGCATGCCACTCACCCCTCACAGTCTGCACTGGGCCTGAAGGGTAGGATCAGGCCCATGTGGCTCCCAGCCTCAAATCAAACCCCTGGGGGCTGCCTGCAGAGTTCAGCCGGAGTCCCTGTGCCCACAGCAGCTCTGTGGTGCTTGTCCTCCTAAAGGAATTGGAACTCGAAGCTGGATCTTGGCCCTCTTTAGAGGGCCCTTAAGGCTCCCAGGGGTCAGAAGAAGTGCTTCTCCCTCACTGGCATCCCGAAGACCTTGGGCCATTTGGAGGGTGGTCCACTTCCAACACCCCCTGGGGCCCTGCTTGGAATAGGTTCAAGATCTCCCCAATCTGTGGCCTAACCTCAGGAGACACCAACTCCCCCCAAAAGGAGAGACCAGAGCCTGGATCTTCCAGCAGCACCAGTCTTCTTGTGGGTGGGAAGAGCCAGGCAGGGCCTTGGGGTTCAGGCTCCTGCCTCCAGGATATTTTCCTGGGCCCCCCACTAAACGGAGACACAACTGCCTTTGCTTTGAGGATGGCCTTACTAGACTGTGGGCAGCTGGGCCTGTTCTTTCAGCCTGAAGTTTCATCTCGCACACTGCAAGTTGTCCATCTGTGGTGCGTGCTGCCATCTAAGTACCTCTAGTGTTGGCACCTGCAGGCACAGCTATGGCTGTGATCTGAGAACCAAGTGGCCTGACTGGACTTGGGGGGAGGTACCCTCAGGAGAGACCTGGCCCCTGCCCATCTCCTCATCTGGGAAGATCTGGCTGGGAGGAATGGTGCCTCCAGCCTCTGGGCTCCTGGGGCACGTGGGGTGCGGCAGGCTCCCAGCCCAGAGTCTCAGAATGAAGGAGCCCGTGAATGGGGCCCTGGACACATGGGACAAAGCACTCACCAGGGTGTAGAGAAGGCCCTCTCGCTGACCTCTGGGCCTTGATTTGGTCCTCTGTCCCCAGTGCCTGGCTACCCCTTGGACAAGCCACCAGCCTTTATCTGCCCGCTACTGTGGGCCTGGCCTCCGCCCAGCAACTTCCTGTCCCCGCCCCAAGACAAGCTTTTCCATGACATGGCCTTTGGGGGTGGGGGGGCAACAGACCAGAGAGACAGGAAAGAGGCAGGAGCCAGATCTTCAGGGACTGAGGAGCTTGGGGGTGCGTGTCTCACGGTCCCAGCCCACCTGCCGCTCAGATCACAGCCACACATGCACTGGGTGTCCATGTACATGACTCTGTCCCCTGGCCCAGGCAGGACAGGCATAGAGAGGATGTCTGGAAGTGACCAGTGAGCTGACCCTCACTCTCTAGTCTAGGAGCAGCAAAGACAGGGTGGACATGTATCCGGTCCCGAACAGCATGGCTGGCCCACTGGGCCTTGGCCATCTGCTTGCAGCCGGGGCTTCTTCCAGTGTAGTCCTTCCCACAGACGCCCACACACTGACTTCCGCTGGGCCCCTTGATGGTTCAAACATGGCTGGGGGGAAGTGGTCACAGAGGCTGCGTCCTGTGACACACAGAGCCCTAGGCGGCCCTGTCCTCTCCCTGGGTCCAGGCCAGGTAGCCACTAAGCTGTGGCTCTAGGGGCCCTATCTAGCACGGCCAGAAGCTGCAGTCCCAGTGCTGCCCTCTTCTCCTTCAGGAAATGAGCCCCAACTACAAGGGAGGCTGGGTGCAAGGCTGGGAGCAGGCCTCGTCCTGCTCTGGAGAAGCCAGGGGCCTGGACTTATCGGTGGTGGCTTTATAACTTGGGTGCTGGGATGGGCAACACCTACAGCCCTGAGAGAGACTGCCCAAGCCCAGGTCCCAGCCAGGACACCTCCCCTGTACCCCAGCTAACCAGTCACACCTTCATTTTCTAAAGCTTTATTTTACAAAATGTGTAGATGGTTTTTATTGGTATCATTTTTTGAAATTAAATTAACCTCCTCCTACCCACACCAGGAGGCAGGAGGAGGTTGGGTGGGGACAGGGTGGGTCAGCCCGGGCAGCTAACCGGTGGAAGCCACCTCTTCCTCGTCGCTGCCATCAGGGACTGCGTCTGTCCCAAAGTAGCGATCCCCAAAGTTCCCTGGAGAAAGAAGCAGCCCAGTATGGAGCCTCCTGGGGAGACCAGCCTTGCTCACACACACCACTGAACAGGCTGGCGGCTCACCTATGCCTGGGATGATGCGGAAAAGGTCATTGACCCGCTTGTCCACAGCTGTGGTGATGATTCTCACTCGTGGGAAAGCATAGGCCACGGAGTGGACACCCATCTCTGCCATCAGCAGTGACAGCAAGAAGATCTTGTCCTCGGGCACATCGTGGTCCTGCCAAGCCAAGGGCCAGGTAAACACCAACTGCACAGGGCCTGCCTGCAGCCCATTCAGGACCCACGTACCAGGAGGACACGGATGGCCATCATGGCCGCTGCGCCAGTAGACACCGTACAGTCCATCAGGATCACGTGGTCGTCACTGATGTCCTTGGGCAGCCGAAGATAGTGGAGCTATGGGAGGCCATGAGGTCAGCGGTGCCTGCCCACCAGGCTCTGGGGTGCCATGTGGCCTTTCCCTGGGCTGGCCATCCTGTAACTCCCATGCCCCCCCAGTCCTGCACCTCGGGCTCCCCCGTGAGCTGGTTGGTCTGGATGAGGATGGTGCCGATGCGCACGTCTTTGCACACAGCGCGCAGAGCGGGCTCCATGGTCTCCCCAGCACGCAGGATGGATACTCCAGTGATCTAGGGGAAGGGAGGGCTGAGCCAATGGGACACCCAGCCCAGCCCAGGTACCGCCCTCCCAGGGTGCACATACCTGCTTTCCAGCATAGCACTTGCCTGCGTAGTCCTGCCCCTGTGGGGTCTGCACCACACAGTCCTGTGCAGAAGGGGTGTGTCTGGACGTGGCCCTCACAGAGGCCCCACCCCCTCGCCCCCAACTCCATCCCTGCCTACCTGGAAGGGCAAGAAGGAAAGCGCATGCTCGATGAGCAGCCGCATCAGTCTCTTGGAGTAGAAGATGAACTCGTCCCGACTAGTCTCCCTGTCCCTGTCGGGTGGGGTGGGTGTGCTTAGGGGAGGCTTAGGGGGGTCCCACCCCACCTCTAATCCCTCCCTGCCCCTCCAGCTGGCCCTCACCTGATGATGGTGTGCATACCGCGCACTTGCGGGGTGCTCTTGAGGACGCTCAGCGTTTGGGGAAGTGGGTGGCTCTGGTGCGCTGAGGCCAGGGCCGCCCTGGGGACACAAACAGATTGGGGACACTCAAGACTGAAGGCCTCTCATTCTAGAGCACCCTCTCCCCACAGGACGGCTGTGCGTCACCATGGGGGTAAAGCAGAGGGGACAGCGGGCGGGCGCAGGGTAAGAGCAGGCCGCTGGCTATGGCTGTCTGGGGGACCTCCCACCCCAACTCCACAGGAGGTGCTGCTCCTGGAGAGGGAGCAGAGACGCAGCGTCTGGTCTGCAGAGGAAGCGCAGGGCCCCATGTGAGGCGCCCTCCTGGGCTTGGAGGGAACAGAAGGGCCGGTGGGATGGGGCTCACCTGCAGGTAGGGCTCAGCCCCCAGAACGGGCAGCTCCCGACCTCTGCCTGGAGTAGTGACCGGGCTGAGGGGTCAAACCCTGCCCAGGCCCATCCCCAAGTGTTGCCCAGTGCTGCCCAGTGCTGCTGCCTGCCCCACTGAGGCCATGCCTGGTGGGGGGGCATGAGAGAGGCAGAAGGGGGAGGGAAGGACGGGGTACAAGAGGGGCACTGGGAGAGGTGGGGCCAGTAGAACAGGAGGAGGGGTGCTGGTGGCAGGAAGTGGGAGGGAGGAGTGGGCGGACAGGGGAAGGTGACACTGTGGGGTGTGGGGGACAAAGGCAGGATAGAAGGGAGGAGTCTGGGGAGGAGGAAGGGATGGGGGTCTCAGGGCGCGGGCCTGGAGGAGGCAGCTGGGGCGGGTGCAGTGGGGGTCCTGCGGGCAGGCGAGCGGGCAGCGGGGCAGCACACAGCGAGCACAACCGAGCACTCTGCTCACATATCCCAGCGCAGCTCCCTCTGCTCGCCAGTGAAGAGTGTTCAGGGAGGGACAGGCAGGAGACGGTACACAGAGGAGAGAAGAGAGAAGGCTCTTAGTTGGGAGGGCAGTGGCATCTCTGCAGACGGTACAGCACGGCCACCAGCTGGCCAGAGGGAAGAGGAGGCCCAGCAGGGCTGCAGCACCCACCCTCTGGGTGGGAGGGCCCTTCCCCTGCCCACCAGCCGCTTCCTGGACAGGAGGAGACACTGAGGCCACTGGCCCCCACTTCTTTGGCAGACCAGAGGGCGGAAAATGGAGCTGGCCACACCTGGAAACTTTTTTTTCTCAGAATAAAGGCTCCTAGAGGGACCTGAGGGAAGGCCTGCAGCACCTGTCTGGAGACCAAGCGGAGACTCATGCAGGGAAAGGAAGCGGCACAGGGTGGGCCCAGAGGCATTTCCAACGCTCTGACTGAGGCTCCCAGAGGTGGCTGGGCCACAGCTCCCCACCTCCAAAGAAAGCCTGGGAGGAGGGCAGGTCCCTCGTGGTGAGACATCAGGGGCAGGTGCTGGTGTCTGCCTGCCCACGGGGTAGACAGGGTGGGGGACACAGCCTTAGCCCACCACAGGTGTGCTGCAGGGCAGCTATACGGCCGAGCAGGGCCCAGGCAGGGAGGCAGGGAGGGCAGGGCCGAGCCCTCACACCACCCCAGCGAGAATCCCCTAGGCCATGAGATTGGGCAGAGGAGGTACAGTAGCCCTGGAGGCAGACCCAGACCCCAGGCTGCTGGGAACACATCATGGCCACATTCCTGGAGACCTGGCAGGGCTAGGTCAGGAGAACAGCTGTGCTCTCTGGGGCTGAACCCCACAGACAACCCCACTTGCAGAGAATTCTCCACAATTTCTGTTCAGCATAGGTGCTATGTGATCTTGGGCAAGTTACTTAACCTCTCTGTGTCTCAGTGTCCTTATCTGCCAGCAATGGGAAGCAGAAGCAGGGCTGGGGCTAATCCGCTCCTCTGCCCACTGGTCTGGCTTGGTAACAGCCCAGACCTGGAGCGCCCTGTGGATGTTGGAAATGCCTCCATGTGTGCAGACAGCTATGGGGTCTTACCTGACGCTGAGTTCACGCTGTGGCAGCAACACAAGGAGACACAAGGGAACGGTGACGCGTCAGTGACCAGGGCAGGTGCCAGACCACCCCACCCAGGACAGGACATGCTGCAGCCCCATGGGGCGACTGCTCAGAAGCTGCCAGGTTTTGGAGGTGAGCTGCTAATGCTTCTAACCTGGGAACACTTGGGTGAGACCTGTGGTTCCGGGCTGGGCAGTTAAAGCCAGGAGCCCTGGGCTCCGTCCCGCAGGCCACAGGCTTCTGACAGCCTGTGGGACCCAGCCATAGAATGCTCCAACAAGGGACTTCTGGTGAGGACATCACTCCCAGGGTAAGCTACCATGAAGGAGAAGAGCTACTGGCCAGACATGGGACTCAGTGCTGAAACCCTGTGGCCTTAGGCCAGCAAGACAGTGGGTCTCCTTTGCCATCCTGCAGGGTTGGGAGGGACAGGAGCCCTTCCATGCCACGTCCGGCTGGGAGCATGTGGCAGCTGGGCCCTGAGTTCCTGTGCCCACTCCCAGAACAAAGGGCTGGGGCTGGGGCTGTGTGAACAGGCAGATGAAGCAAGCTGGGGACACTCAAGTGGACATGAGAGGGTGGGCAAGCAGAAGCAGGGACACTACCTGAGACTCACCTCCTCCAGCTGACTGTGCACATGCTGCACAATCAGGTCAATGGCCACCGCGTTCCCACTCCCTGCGGCAAAGGAGGGCGGCTCAGGCAGGCTCACGTGCCAGTGTCCTGGCAGGCCCACCTCTGGGCACCACCATGCATGTGCCAGCATCCTGGCAGGCTCACCTCTGGGCACCACAATGTCCGCCAGGCGCATGGTGGGCTGGATGTATTGGTCAAAGGCAGGCTTGACAAACTTGTGGTACTGCTTGATGACACCCTCGATGTCCCGGCCTCGTTCACTGATGTCCCGGCGCAGCCGCCGCACTAAGCGGATGTCGGAGTCCGTGTCCACAAAGATTCTCATGTCCAGGAGCTGAACAGGGATGGCAAGCTGACTGAGGTCTGTGATCAGCAGGGTCACATGGCCCCACGGAGCAGCTCCTGCACAAGGCCTCCTAGTATGTGGGTCAGGTCCAGGGCCAGCCCCCAGAGGCATCTCCTGAGCCTGGCGAGGAGTGTGGCAGGAGCATGTGCTCAGGGAGTGTGTGAAAGTGGGCAGGAGCTGGGCTGGGCAGTATGACATCTACATGATGGGGGGATGAGGGCCTGATGGGTTCTGGGTGTGGGCCCTGAAGGAGCTGTGTGAGGGCTAGGGGTCGGTGGGAGCAACAGTGGGGTCCTCTGGGCCTGCAGCAAAGTCCCTCAGACTGACTGCCTGAGGTCCTCACCTCCAGCAAGGAAGGAGGAAGCCAATGCACAGCTGAGGGTTGGCAGGTGGGGAGGGAGCATGTCCCCAGCAGCCACACCCATGCTAACCAGTGGGAGAGAGCAAACTGTACTGTGCTGGGGCACCCAAGCCTCTCCTTTCAGCAGGGGAGACCTGGGGACAGGGCAGGGCTTTGCTGTTGGAGGCATCTGCGGCACAGGGAAGCCTCACCTCCAGCAGCGTCTTGTCAGCGAAGGCCATGATACCCTCGAAGATGATGACATTTGCACCATAGAGTGTTTTCTGCAAAGGAACCAGGGAGTTTCAAGCCAGCTTCTGCCTCCGCAGCCCACCTGCAGTCCTGAGCCCCAACCTACCCAGTCCTTCTTCCGGCTGTGGGTGGTGAAGTCATAGATGGGCACTTGGACGCTCCGGCCCTGCTTCAGCTTCTTGAGGGTGGAGATGATGAGGTCAAAGTCGAAGGCGTCGGGGTGGTCAAAGTTGAAGTCGTTGTGGGCGGCCTGCTCCTGCTGCTGCTGGGTCAGCACCTGTTAAGGAGGCCACAGACGACCCCTGCCCACAGCCCCAGGGGACAGCATGCTGGGGCCCAGGGACCAAAGGCCTGCATTGGCAGGGGAGGGGGTAGAGGGAGAAGGGCATTCCAGGAGCTGAGCAGGGCCTCACCTTGTAGAAGGAGTCCATGGACAGCAAGACCACCCAGGGCACATCTAGAGCCTCAATGATCATCCTGGCCACGGTGGTCTTCCCTGAGGCACTGCCACCTCCCAGGCCTGCCAGGGGAGCGGAGAGCTGTGCTCAGGACATCTGGCTGACCCCACAGGTGGTCCTGAGGGGCTTCCCACACCACCCTTACCGATGGCAAAGGCCTCCTTGGACTGGGTGCCATGCTCATTGTACCAGGGTGGCCGCCCTGCCGTGTAGATGGTGCGCTTGCTGGTGCGCAGCAGGGGTGGCTCCGACTTGCACTGGCTGGTGGTGCGCTTCCGGGGTGAGCGCCCGGTGCCCACGGCGGGGAGGAGCCTGTCCAGGGACCCTGCATTGCTGCTATAAAGACAATGTGGTTTAGCCTTGACCTGGGGCTGCTGGTCTCCTTGGTGCCTGGTCACACCCAAGGGGGCTCCTGTAGGTGCAACCCAGGTCAAGCCTGGACTGGGTACTGTCCAAGAAGCCACCTACAGTGGGCCACAGAGCTCTTAGGGGCATGGGACCTTGGTTCACACAACAAGAACAGAGGGACGTTGCAGTGATGAGGAGAGAGGAGAGTCCCCATCTCAGGCTGTGCTCCTCCCCTGTGTGGACTGGGCCAGGCAGGGCCCTTCCTCAGGTGATTCAAGGTAGGCACTTGTGGACAAGCAAGAACCCCCTGAGGACCATGTCCCCCTCCCCAGCCCAGTGCTCTCTCTGGGCAGCCCAGTCACTGTCTCCTTGCAGAGGAGGGTAAAGCCTGGGAAGAGGTAAGGACAGACACAGGGCTCTGGGCAGAGTGGCATCCTGGCCTGGCCTCTCTGACTGTCAGAGTGCAGGATGGACAACGAGAGGGGAGATCCCAGCTAGGAGGCCTAGGGAACTAACTTGTTCTGTGATCCCTCCTAGGTCCTTAAGACAGAAACTTCCAGAATTCAGCAAAGGCCACCTACGTGGGCTTACCCCATGAGCCATGTGTGTAAAACAGGAGGCCCACAGAGACTACCAGGTGGAAATCTAACCCGAAAAAGGCTCAGACCTGTGCTTGTGTCCGTGCCACATCACGCATGCCAGGCCAGCTCTCAGATCCCTGCCACCTGCACCATTGGCCTGTATCCCAAAAGGGGTGCTGTTTCTGGCTGTGGCCTCAACCCTGAGACCTCTTCTGTGGAGGCTCCCTGTGAATGCATGGCCGGTGACACTGCTCAGTTTGTCCTGAGAAGCAGAGCCTGGTGTGAAGATGCTGGGCGTGGGGGACAAGACACAGGCTGTGAAGGCCCTCCTGGCCACTGCCTGAATGGGGAGACCAAGTGGTCAGAGTGGCCCTAGCACCATCTCTCAGGCTGTCCAAGAGGGGTTAGTGGCTTGGCCTAGCATGTCACAGCCCACCCCCGTGAGGAGCCTGTGAGCAAAAGGCTTACATGTCAGACATGCCAATTTCAACCAGGATCCATCTGGGTACCAAAATCTGGAACAGGGACTTCTGCCTGTTCTTCTTGAATGTTTTATAAGCACATGTGCCATGCTATCAAAATCCAAACTATGAGCAGGGCACAGTGGCACAGGCCTGTCATTCCAGTGTTCCCGGAGGTCGAGGCAGGGGGATTGTAAGGTCCCGGACAGCCTGCGCAACTTAGTGAGACCCCAAACAGAAAGGGCTAGGGCACACCTCAGTGGTAGTCCACCTCTCAGAGCACCAGCAATGACCCAAGCTGGGCAGGGGCACTGGCATGCACAGGCATGGAGGCCACGGAAGAAAGGAGCCAAAGCCTAATCCCTAACAGGTCCTATGGCAGCTCTAGCAGCAAGAAAGCTTCCTATCTGTGTTTGACAAGGAGAGCGCTGCGCTTGTCCTTGGGGACAGACAGGGCCACCTGTTTCTACACCACCACTGTTAGGAGAACTCAGGAGTGAGCCCAGGGAATAATTAGCCAGGCAGAGGTGCTCAGCCTTGCTCCTGCAGCTCTGAGGCTTAGCACAAACAACACAGCCAGGTACCCCAGTGACTAGGTGAGAGGTCCTAGGGACAGTGCTGCTCTACCATGCACTGGCATGGGAGCAGGTGCCCACAGCACTGCTATGGGACACATGTGGGGGGCACAGCCTAGGACATGATGTGCCCTGGGGCTGCTGTCTGCACCCCCAGTCAGGCTTGCCAAAGAGCTCTTGGCTTAAAGGGAGACAGGACTTGTAGTGACATCCTAAGGTTCCTGGACAGAGGGCAGACAGCAGTTTGCTCACCTGGGCACACTAATCCACCAACAGTAAACAAATAGGTTTGTGAAGCTCACCCCTGGGGCTGCCCACATCACACTCCAAAGGAATCGCCCTGTGCCTTCAACCTCCACTGAAACTCTTTAACAGAAAATGCAATTTGTGAGAGGTAGGGCCTCCTGCAGGAATCCCCCAGGGCTGCCCCACAGCCATGCCCTGGATTCCAGCAGCGAGCACGCCCATGCACAAAGCCAGGACCAACTCCCATAGACACTGAGCAGAGGCAGCCAGTGCTCGAGGCTCTGTGGGATCTCAATATGCAGGCCTTCCTGGAGACCTTTTGGTCCTCCTATCAGTGACTTCCTCACCCCACTGAAGTGACCACCACCACCACCACAAATCCTTTCCAAGGCTATCACTGCTGAGCCTGTTGCAGACCCTTCTGTTGGGCAGAGTGCCTAGTTGCAAGGAGGCCAGGGGGGACTTTGCCAGAAATGCACCTTGCCTCACTGGCGACAAAGGCCACAAGGCTATCTGCACCAAGCCTCGGCCCTCCCAGAGCTAATCTCTGTCCCAGAGCCAGCAGCAAAAATTCACCCATTTCTCAAAACGTGTAACCCTGAAAAGAGAAATTTGCACAAAACACCTCATTTCCTATCCAAAGATGGATAAGGGTACTTCTGGCCACAACGAGGAAAATTATTCTCAATCCAAAGGACTGAGTCACGACCCAGAGGAGACACACACAACCCACAGCCCCAAGTGAAACTCCCTGTGGCCTGAGCCTGGCCCAGCTCCCCAGAGTGCCTGCCAGCCTGCCCGCTGCCCGCTACTCAGAGATGCACTGCACAGGAGTCTGGAGTGATCAGCACCACCGAGAAGCTGGGTACTCCTCACCAGCAGGGATTCCTCTGCAACTCACCTGCCTTCTGCCCAGCACCCTGAGATCCTGATGCCAGGGTAAGCTGGGGGACTGCTCATGGCCGACCAGGTCCCAGAGGGTGTGCTCCTGGTGTGTGTATGGCTTAGGCGCTGGCATTAGGGAGGCATCACCTCCTCAGCACCACAGTGGTGCCCAGAACAGCACTGGTCTTCTGGCCGCCTGCACTGGCCCTCTGTGAGTGGAACCACTCTTGTGAGCAGCACAGCAGGTAAAGACCTGGGTGGGGCTGGGCCCCTGGCTGGCAGTGGAGCTGCTGTATGCAGGGGGAGGTGCACAGCACTGGGGGCCCCAGGAGCCCCTCTATGCTGAGGGAACACACTTGCCACTGGCCTCTGAGGCCAAGGCCACAGTCATAAGAGGATCACCCAGCTAGGGATTGAGTGCCAGATATTAATAGCACAGCTTTGCCTAGTGTGGCCTGCAAGATCCAGGCCAGCTGTGGGTGTGAGCTGCCCTTCTGAGCACAAGCTAGCCCACTCACCAGCCGAGGCTTGCTGAGAATCACTGTGCTCCAGTACCCTGGCCCCACCCCCACACACAGCAGGACAGGGAAATTTGAGACCCCTCCTGGCCAGCTGACCTCAATGTCAGTGCTGAGCTGGGCACCCGACCCTTGGCCCCAAGGTACCTCCTGTGAGCATAAACAGATATGAAACCCTACCCTTTATCCGGATCTAAGAATAACAGCCCCGCCCCCCCACCTCACAGAGGTCCCAGAAAGTCCCTGGGCCACTCAAGGCTCATCAGGGGACATAGCCACCTCCTGTCCACAACAGCAAGAGAAGAGGCAGGCCTGGCCCCACCCTCAGCAAGCATGGACAGTAGAAATCTCTTAGTGGCTCAAGGAGTCTGTTCAGAGAGGTTCTGGCTGCCCAGCTCTCCCGGTGGGTGGTTATATGTGCCAATCCCTCCTGGCCACCCAGATAACCCACCCCTCCAGAGGCAACTGGAGAAGGAACAGCGTCTGGTGTGTCCTCAGAGCTTGCCCCTTCTCATGATACTCCCAGGTGGCAGGCTGTCTGCACCAGGCCTCGCTCAGGGAGCCTCAGCTGTCTTGGGCCATGCAGAGTGGGACTCCTGGGGATCATTATCTTGCTTGGGTGTCTAAGCAACAGAGGGGACCCAGGCTGGTCAGCCTGGATGTTCCTGGGTGCCCTAGCTGAGCAAGACCCATGGGCTGGGTAAGAAGCCAGGCGACAAACTCATGGGAAGCCGGTACTGTTGACCTAGGAAAGGGAGGCCAGAGTCTAGATGTGCTGCTATTGACACAATAGGCAGCCTTCACTCTGGCTCACCAACTCCCCAGCAGCCTCTGCCTTTGCTCCAGCTTAGGGTGCTGGAACCCCACTCCCAAACTGTCTCCCCAGGGCTAGAATGGACTAGAGAACACCCATTCCCAGCACCACCAACAGGGGCACTAATGCTGTTAATCAGTAGCCACATTTGGAGCCCAGTTGGCCAAGTACCTTTCTGCCCAGTTTCCTCCTGTTTCCAGTATCAGGAGGTGCTGAAGGGTGTCCAGTCACCTCAGAGCACCCCTCATCACTCTGGGAGAGGGTCCACTTTGGGTCACGGCATAGGGGGGCATGGCTTAGACCCCTTCACCCCCACCAGGAAGGGGCAGGCCTCAGTGATCTCCAGGATGGCAGCAGTTATGCTCTGAGATTCCTGAGACCAAAGCAGGTGCCTCATCCACAATAATGACCACACAAGTGACGGCACATGGAAATAAACAGACATGTGCAGAGACTAGAGAGCAAGACTGCACCATACTGAGCATCCCAGCCAACATCCAAAGCCGGAGTGGTGGGCTAATGCCTGTAATCCCAGCTATTCAGGAGGCTGAGGCAGAGGATGGATCACAAGTTTCTCCTGGGACAGTGTGGGCATTTGAGTGAGAATCTGTCTCAAAAAAATAAGAAGGTCTGGTGATACAGTTCATTCCCCAGTACACAGCAGGAACGAGGGGCAGCTGGAAGCAGTCAGGAGGACCACCCCTCAGGGTCTGGGGTGGGTGGGAGGACCGAGGCTTACATCTCCTACCCTGAAACCCTTTCCAGCAGACCCTGCTTTCTTGCTGTTCTAAGCAGATGCAATCAGCATCCCTCCACTGCCCACAACCAGCTGGTATTCATGCTCAGGTAGCCCCTAAGGACAGTCCCTGCACCAGCACGGACAGCAGGCACTGAAGACAGAGAGGAGAGGTTAAATAGACATAGAGACCAGTGCAGGGACCGTGGGGAAACGTACCAGAGAGCAGAAGGAAAAGTCCCTGGCTGGACAGGAAATGCACAGGTCAGCCTGAGACCCCTACTGCTGTGGCCCTGTGCCAGTGACCCGCACTAGGACAAGTCTGGGTTGAGACATCACGAGGGCCTGGTGCCCAGAACAGTCTGTGTGGTCTTGGAGCCTATCTGGCTATGCATGGCCTTTCTGCTCCTGGTTATCCAGTGACCCTCTGAATCAGTGAGCGTCACAGATTCAAGTCCTGATGGACCGAAGCCAAGCAAGCTCCCGGTCACTGCCCGCTGGGATGGTGTGGGCCTACGACCGGCCGCTCTGAAAGGGCTCTGCTCTGGCTCCAGGTACTCCACGCTCCTACTCGCCCACACCCGGAAAGCCTTCTGGGACTCCAAGGGACGCGATCAGACCCGGAAGAGGCAAGGCGCGCAGTCGCGCGCGACCACCGCCCCCTGGCGGCCACGACCCCGAGGCGCTGCGGGGGCGATCAGCCGGATGCTGACGGGCTCACCCGCAGCCCACCGCCCTCTTTAATGCTCCCGGACCCCTCGAAGGCCGCACACATGCCCAGCGGTCGGAATGCACCACCGCACCTCACCCTCAGAATCAGTCCGAGGGCCACTGGGCTGCAGGGCCGGCCGGAGCCCAAACCCGAACGTGACTAACTCGGAAGGTCGCGCGGGCACACGGCCCCGGAGCGCCGCGAACCTAGGCCTCGCGGGGTGCAAACCAAGTCCCATCTCCCGCGTCCCTCCTGTCCTCCGTCCGCTCCTGCCCCTGAGGCCGCCAGCCGACCACCCGGCCGCTCCTCCAGGGAAGGAGGTGCCGACAGGCCGTCGAGGGCGTGGAGGGCATGGGGACAGCCCCCGGAGGCCGCCCGCATCGGGCGGAGGTCCACGCGCCCACTCAGCGGACCTGAGCCCGAGGTGGGCTGGGCCCGGGGCCTCCACGACGACGCGGGGGCTGCAGCGTGCCGTTGCCCTTCCGCCGGCGCGCGGCCCCCGCCCGGCCCTGCGCCTACCGGTCCTCGCACGCGGTCTCGCTCTGTCCTCCCGCGGAGGCTCCGGGCGCGTCCGGGGCCGCAGGAGGCGGCGGGGGCGAGGGGGCGGCGTCCGCGGAGGCGGGTGGCGCAGCCATGGCGCCCGGAGACTTGGCTGTGGCCGGCAGCGCGCGCCCCGGAGCCAGTGAGGGCGGACCACGAGCCCCACAAGGCCGCGCGTCTCCGGGCGCGCGCGCACGGGAGAGGACCGCGTCTCGGCACAAACTCAGCCACACAAAAGCCCTGGAAAAAAATCAATAAACATTTATTTGATACAGTCATTTTTAATACATACAGTTGATGGCGCGTCCCCGCGCCACTCGCCAGGGGACGAGGTTGGAGACAGATGGTCACAAGGCGGGCAGGGCCCGAGCTCACCGTCAAAACATCTTGCAAATAAACATTTTGTAGATAGAATATATATATGTATATATATGGTTACAAGTGATAGCTGGAACCTGTCTTTCCAAATGCACTTGTGTGCTGAGAACCTCATTAAAAACCAAAACAAGAAACCCGAAGTTTGGGACGCATGGCCACCAGGCAGAAGGGTGACCCACGGCCCTCCTGAACCCTAGACTTCCAGGGCAAGCTACCTGGAGTCTAGCCGGCAGGGGCTTACAAGGAAAGCCCTCCCCTTCCAGGGCCTCCCTCAGAACCACCAGAGGGAAAGGAAGGCTCCAGCCACTCAGGATGCACCCCCGTCTGCCTGCAAAGAATTGAGTAAAGTGCATCCTATTTCTGTGTGAAGTGTCAGCTCCTGGGGCATTTTCCTGTTCTCAGGAAAGGGCGTGCACTGAACCAGAGGTAGATCTGCAGAGACGCTAACTCACATTTTGCCAAGGACCCAGGGCTTGGTCCACCAAGCTCCATGCTTACCACCCCTGGGGTCTGCCATTCTGATCCCTCCCACTGAGGCTGCTGTGGAGGCCAGTGGTCACTTTGTCATGTGTGAGCCAGAGTGGGAGGTGGGCAGACCCTGATGCACTCCGCCCAGGGCCCTACACCCTCTGGAGGAAGGCTTTGCAGACCAGCTTGCCACTGCCCCTCTCTAGTTAGTGTGGGTGGATGAGAGGGAAGGAAAGGAGGGAGGGAGGGCAGGCTCCAACCAGTAGCTACTCCAGCAGCAGCCCCCTTGTTCATTTCAAGACACAGGGGTTAAAGTGCTAAACATCATCACCCAGGCCCACTTCTACACCAGGGCCACCTGTGGACTTCGGGGGTGTCCTGGAAACTCAACCCCCCCCCAAAAAAAAGAGCCTGGCCTCCTTCCCCCCAAGTGCCAAATACCTGAGAAGTTGGGCAGAAGGCCACACCCTGCTGGAGCCCAACCTCCTCCACCATGGAAACAGGGCCAAGTCCACTTGGCCCTCCATGGGTGCACTCAGGTGCCCTGGAAAGCACACTGCCCCAGAGTTCCAGATTCTCCCCTGACCCTTGCCCACACTCATCTCCACCTAGGCCACCATCCTCAGACCAGGTCCAGGTGTGTGAGGCTGGGGGAGTCTATTCTCTCCACCCCTCCCAATACATCAGGCCAGGCCTGCCCAGTCAGTTTTCCCATCCCCAAAGCCCCATGGAACTGGTCTCCGTACTTCAGGGTAGGACAACCCAGCTGGAACCCCTCCTCCCTGTCCCCTGAGCAGCAGAGGAGCCACAGCACAGCCCTGGGCCAGCCCAGCCCCACCTTCGACACCAGGAAACCCTTAGCACCAAAATGTCGGATTGTTGTGAATTTTTGTATAAAAAACAGAATTTAAAAAAAGGTTGGTACTTGTCACAGCAACAAGACTGGCATCCACTACACCCAGGAGACACGCACACAGGCAAATATCAAAATTCACATCGTCCAGGATCAGTGAGGCTGTGCCCTCAGCCCTCCCTGCCCCCACTGGTAAACAGCCTCCATCCATATGTCTCTGAGCATCTTCCTCCCTTCACAGGGGCTGCAAGTGGGGCTCCCCCTCCAGGTGCCCTAGGACTCCTGACTGACCCCTGCCCTACCTGCAGATCCTGCCATCCTCAGATTCCTCACAGCCCTGGAGCTGCCACCTAGTGCAAGCTCCCCTCTCCCACTGGCCTTTGGTTCCTGTATCCAATGCCACCAGATGTACAGGAGCAGGTAACGGGGAGGAGGGTTTCTTTTTTTTTTGGGAGGAGGGTTTCTATAGGAGCTCTGCCTCTTGGCTGACCCCACCTGGCAGAGGATATTCTCCATGGGGCTCACCTTCGGAGCTGGGCCCTTTCCACCTGGCCCTGGACCCACAAGCCCCTAGCCCCGGGGAGATGGCCTCAGGCTGTGACCTTGGCTTGCAGTGACAGAGGCTGGAGGCAGGAAGCAGAGCATACAAGCCTCTGGTCCTCCACATGTCTGGGCAGAGCAGACAGGAAGCTGTCCCTCCAACTTGAGGACAAGGACCAGTGGTTTGGGGCCTGAAATGCAGCAGGAATGACAGACAGAGGATGGAGGCAGGCCCAGAGAGGTAGAAAACAGAAGCAGAGGAACTGGAGGGTGGATGAGGGTGGGCAGGTGGCTGTCAGGTCAGCATGGCAGTGGCTGGACGGGGTCTGTCCTGGGAGGTAGCTGGGGTACTGGAGTTCCAGTGTTGGGTGGAGGCAAGGCCCAGGTGGTGGCAGCCAGGGATGCCCAGGTGCTCTCATTGGCCCAGAGCCACAGATCATCAGGGATGCCCCAGTCATGGGGAGCCAGGGTGGGGAGCCATCTGGATCTGAGGAAGCAGAGCCAGGGGCCAAAGAACATCTGACTGCTGTGCACTGCAGCCCCTTGGTGCCAAAGCCCCAGAAGCTGCCAGGCCCCTGAGCGTCCTCACAGGGAGGCTGCCCCACCCTTTGTACTTCTGCCGCTGCCCCTGGCACCCCTGGTGGAGCTCCACCCAGGTGTGCCCTGAACAAGGGAAGGGCCACCTTCAGGGAGGAGAGAATGGCTCACCACCTCCACTGGACAGATGGATGGGGGTGAGGATGGAGGACAGGAGGTCCAGAGTGGCTCCCCCACCCTGAACAGAGTGGGGCTTGGCAGCCAGTGTGGGGTTCATTTTTAGGGTGACTTGCTGGCTCCCACCTTCCGCCCAGTGGAGCCCCGAGACCCCTTGTCCCTGCCTCCCAAGGGCCAGTCGTCTCGGCGGTGGAGGAGCTTGGGCATGGGCTCCTCAGGAGGCCGCTCCTTGGGCTTGCGGCCCCGTTTCTTTCCTCCCGCCAGACTCCGTTTCTCTTTCCTGGATATCAAGGGACCCTGGCTCCTGTGTTTGGGAGGTGGGTCTGCTGAGGTCCGGAACCAGTTCTGGGGAGAGAAAAGCCCCAACGAAGACCTGGGACCCTGCCCATACTGTAGACCCAGTCACCCTCAGGCCAGGTAGGCAGCTGCAGTGAGTGGCTGAGGGCAGGGTTCCCACCCAGGGTAGGGTTCCCACCCACAAGCAGCTCCTGCTCAGGCTGCCAGGTAGGACCCAGCTTCTCAGCTTTTCTGGGGGAGTTGGATACCCCTATGAGAAACTGCCAGACTTCTCAATGCTGGCCAGTTGCTTAAATAGACACTCTTGGGCCATCCCATTTCCACCACCCCAGCTCTGGCCCTACCCCTACTGGGCCTCCCCCAGCTGCAGGCCCAGTAGTTGCTCCCGCACCTCTGCATGGGTCTTGAGGATATGGTACTTGACGCCACTTTCAGAGCTGAACTCTTTGGGACACAGCAGACAGCGGTATTTCCCTACCAGGTGGTCCCCCTGTAAAGCAAGGCAGTGCAGTCCCTGGCTCTTGAGGGCCCAAAGCCCACACCTGGCCCAAGCCCTTATCTCACCACTAAAGGGGCAGGGACAGATAGAGAATCTGCGGCTGTTTCAGGAACCTGTAAGGGTACCCTGCAGCAGGACCGTTAACTGGCTCCTGCTACCGGAGAGTTGAGGATGGGAAGAGGCAGGTGTCTTGGGGAAGGGTCACAAACCTTTGCCGAGGGTCCTTACCCAAGATAGTGTGCCCAGGTCAGGTTGACCACCCACACATACCCACATAGACAAGGAGCCGAGGACAAGACTGGGGACCGACTGTCCTATGGCTGGGGTAGAGGGCAGGGAGGGGTCCTGAGCCAACTGTCTATATCAGCCTGTCTCTGGGTTCATGCAATAGGAGCAGGGAAGGGTCTCACACTAATGTGGAGGGACCCCTGGCAGGATAAAGGTGGGAATGCTGAGCACCCTCTGGGCCACAGGGAGCCCCTAGGACTGACCTTGCTGCAGCTGGCCAGATGGGCCTTGAGACCAGACACGCTGGAGTAGATGGCTTCACAGCACTGCAGTGGGAGACAGCCATGGGGGGGAGGCCGGTGGGGAGTCTCCCACACAAAGGTGCACCCTGCCTCAGCCTCAGGGAGCTCGGAGCCTCTCTCTGGGGCATGTGGAAGGACCTGACTCCAAGAGTCCTGGGGTTTAGGTTGGGCATGTAGGGCGTGAGGCCCCTCTGCTAATGGGGTCTTAAGTGAGAACCCTGTGGGAGCTCAGAATCGGAGGCAAGGAGTCATTTTGAGGCATCGGAGTCATTTTGAGGGCTGCCTCCTGACAGGTCTCAGTCTCAGCCTCTGCCACTCCCTGAAGGCCACACCTGCCCTGTCTTGGACCTCCCATGCCCACCTGCTCAGCCCACCCCGCTCACATCGTTAGGGCAGTTTACGTGGCCGTTGGCTTTGACTTCATTCTTCCATGCCTCCAGTAGCTGGGGGTTGAGTGTGGGGAGGCCTGGCCGCGTGTAGTTGAGCTGTAAAGCCAGGCACAGTGCAGGTGAGTCCAGGCCCAGAGGTACCCAGGCTCTGAGACTGTATGCCTCAGCAGCAACTCAATGTCCCTTCCAGAGTTGGGATCAGTAGTCAGGGGCATGGCTGTCACCAGGGACTCTGGATTGAGGCATGTCCTGCCCAGAGACAAGGAGGCCAGGGGCTTGGGGAAGATCTCAGGGAAGAAGGCCCACACCCCATCCACATGTGGGTAGGCAGCTCACCCGTGCAGTCTCAGGCACAAGATCATCCTTCATGCGTCGCTTGGTCCAGTCCCGTGCCAGCTCATCCTCTGCAATCTCCTGCAGGTGGAACACGGCCACCTGGGCCGAGGTGCGGCGGATGCGACCACTTGGGGTCCGCTCCACACCCAGCAAGTCCTCAGCCTCAGGGGTCTTTTCCATGGGCTCCTCGGGAGGCTGGAGAGCAGGGTCACATGGTAGCCAGGATGAGCCGCAGAAGCAGGACAGCCAGAGATGGCAGGTCAGAGTCAGCATGAGATGTGGGCCACATGTGGCCCCTGAAGACACAAGGACCCAGGGTGCATACAGGTGTATGGGGGACAGGGATAACATAGGCATCCCGAGGAAGATGGGACACAGGGGTTCCTGGTGCCCACCCTCCAGTCCATTGGGATGTAAGTGACTTACAAGGAGAGTGGGGATCACACACATCAGGTGGCAGGAAGGAGTACTGTGTTACAGCACAGACCACTGGAGAGCCATGGGAGCATGAAGACCACGGGCCACTCACCGGGGCCGAGTGCTCCGATCGCACGTGGTAGTCATGACCAGCCTTGGAGCGATAAGTCTTGCCGCAGTGGGCGCAGGGGAAGGAAGGGCTGTCTACCTCACAAGGCGGTTTCCCACAGCGCCGCTGGTGGTACTGATAGCCCATGAGGCTGGAGAAGGCGGCCCCGCAGCCCTGGGGATCCAGGCCAGTGGTCAATAGGCAGCCAGAGAGGCTCCAAGTCCCATGTCCTCACATGCTCCCCACACTGACCTCCTGGGGGCAGCGCAGCCGCCCCATCTGCTTCAGCACCTTGCGCAGCCGCTCTCGTTCCTCCTGCTCCCCGCCCTCGGAAGCCTCAGCAGCAGCAGGCTGAGAACAGGGTGAGTTCAGGGGTTGGGACCACTGGGTCCAAGGTCAGGCAAGGGGAAGCAGCAGGGTGGGGTTAGATGTCAGTGGTCAGGGTGAGACAGGCCCTGGGGTCCTGGCAGCATACCTTGGCACTGTGCTCGGCCATGGTGTGGTAGTTGAGACCAGCCTTGGATTTGAATTGCTTCCGGCAGTGCTGGCACTTGAGTGCATCCTGCAGCTATAGACACAGCCTGGCAATAAGAAGCTGGCCATGGCTAAGGAATCCCCACTCCCAGTGCCTCCCAGGCAACCTACCTTCTGACACACCTCCATGTGCTTCTTGAGCCCCACAAGGGTCTTCCGGGTGACCACATTGCAGGTAGGGCAGATGGCCTCCCCCCGTTCATGGATAGCTCTCTGCCACTGCTCCTCAGGACCACCTGTGGGGCAGGACTGGGGCCTCAGAGGCTTGTGGAGGCTCCTGGATGCCAGGGGTAGCAGTAGCACCCAGGCTCCACAATCAGCCCCCATGCCTGAACCATGGAATCCACCCCACAGTTGAGACCTGCCCTGGGCCCCGGCCGGCAGCCCCACCTGGGGCTGAGTGGGTCACAGGAGTTGGTGCCTCCTTGCTGACAATGACAGGGGTAGCCGGCACCTTCTTCCGCACATCCTCAGGACCCAGCCCCTCCTGCTTCTTGGAGCGGTGAACTCGAGCCTTATCCTCGGCTTTAGCCAGGCCTGTGTGCACAGGTAGGTGGGCAGGGAAGTGTGGGCTAGGTGCAGGCACAGGTGTGGAGGCACCCAATCTCAGAGGTGCCCTGCAGGTGGGGTCTCACCTTTGAGTCCAAAGGTCCCTGAGATGGATGGTTGCTCCCCTGTGAATTTCTTGGGTGTTTTCTGTTTCCTTCCTGACTCGGGGGAGAGAAAACAAGGATCAACATCTGGTCAAATGACCATCTGGAGCCAGAGCCCCACCTACCTCCCGACTTTCCTCAGGGCTCTCATCTTACTATGCTTTGTGCGCCCGGGGTCCTCCTCAGGTGGGGACACAGGGCCTGCAGGCCTCATTGCCTCCCTGCCCACTGAGGGTCTCCCACCCAGCAGCAGGGAACTACTGCTGGGATCTGTACTCAGCTGTAAGGCCAAGCTCTGGTCCGTGGTAGATGGGCTGAACTCCCCATTCTCTGGCCTGGACTGCTTTGGTGGGATAGGGCAGATGTCCAGGCTGTCTGCGGCCCTGCAGAGGAGGTGAGGTGAGGCCAGGTGGCCAGCCCTGGCCTGGACCCTAGGTATGCATAAGGATACTTAGGTGTGAGCTCCTGTACCTTTTCTTACTGCTGCTCTTCCCAGCAGCACGAGGTGCTTTGTTCTCAGACTTGGTCAGCAGCACCATTTTGCAGGTTGGTGTATGTCTGCTGATGGCAATGGGCCTGCTGACCGGCACTGGCTTGCTGACCACAACGGGCCTGCTGACTGGCACTGGCTTGCTGACCGGCACAGGTTTTGTAATTGTTACCAACTTGGTGACTGGGATAGGCTTGGTGACTGGCACAGGCCTAGTGACTGGCATGGCCTTGGTGACTGGCATGGCCTTGGTGACTGGCATAGGCCTGCTGACTGTGACAGGCTTGGTGACCGGCATGGGCCTAGTGACTGGCACGGGTCTGCTCACTGTGACCGGCTTGCTGATGCCAATGGGTCTGCTGACTCCCACAGGCTTTCCCATAGTGACAGGCTTGCTCACTCCAATGGGCTTGCTGACCCCAACAGGCCGGCTGATGGAGACTGGTCGGCTGACTGGTCCAGGCTTGGGGGCTGGCAGGGGACGGTCCATGTGATTCCAAATCCGGTGTTTCTCCAGCTGGGTCTTTGAGGTGAATGCAGCCTCGCAGAAGGGGCAAGGGAAAGCCAGCCTATCTGAGATGGCGCCCTGGGCAGGGAGGGCAGGTGTGGGACGGGGCCCCGGGACCTCTGCCCAGGCACACCCCTAGGCCACCTCCTCCCTGACCCATAGCCCCTTACCCCTTGGCAGCGCTGGTAATGGTACTTGAGTCCGTAGATGCTGGGAAATTCCAGCCAGCACCCTGAGTTGGGACACTTCACCCTTGAGTGAGCTTTGAATTCATCTTTCCACTGGTTCATGAGTGAGAGCTGAGCACAGAGAATGGCTGGACTGCTGCTTCTCATCCACCTAGGCCTCAGCCCTCCAAGCCCCAGACTCAGAACCCTCCCCAGGCTACAGGGCACAGAGGCAGCACAGCCCCTCAACCTCCAGACTGCAACAATAATTCACGCCCAGCTCCAGATCTGTGCTGGGGCTACTAGCATGGCTAATTGGCCCTCACAGCTATCAGAGGTAAGGGCCTCAGGCTACATCCTGAAACTCAGAGCTGACAGGGGAGGTGCAGAGGGGAGATTAGAGTAGGTCAGTGACCTCTACAGGCAGACCCATCATGAGCCCCACCCCTGCCTCAGGGAACTCACAGGAATGTCTCGCAGGGCCTGGTTCTCGGCCTTTGGCCGCCCCTTTTTCTTCCCCTCTGTCCGGTCGCTGGCTGGACTTCCTGGGTCAAAGCAGAGAGGAGCCTGGCCAGATACTGTCTGTCCACTGTGGACCACAGGCATCCCTGAAGCATATGGGGCAGCAAGGTTCAGGGACTGCACTGTGGCTGGCACAAGGGGGGCAGATGTGCAATGAGCCTGGGCTCACCAATGCCAAGGCATAGGGCAGGGACCCTGCCAGCCTAGGACAAGAACCCAGGCACAAATTATGTCCAAAACAGCCTCTATCCCAGAACGCCCTTAGGTACTCAGAGAGTGACCCTCTGCAAGTGATTTTGGCCCTGGCTCCTCACCCAGCTTTGGTGAGTCCTGTAGCATGGGAAGTCGGACCTCCTTCCGGCTGCCACTCTTCCCAGGTCCACTTCTGCTGGACCCCTGGAGCCGGCGGCCTCCTCCAACACAGAAGGGATCAGTCATTTCTGCAGGGCAAGTACACAGACCTGAGGTCCAATGAGCCCAATTCAGAACTTACAGAGGGGCTGCCCTGAAGCCTACCCACCAATAGGCTCACTCTGGCCAGGAAGCTTGCCCTCCTGATTTGTCACAGAGAAAAAAGTAACAGGGCTTCTGACTCAGGGGAGGGGCTGCACAAGTTCTCCCCAGACAACCCAGAAGGCACAAACAGTGTGGAGACCCTCACCAATTTGGACAGGCTCCCTCTCAATATCAAGACTCACAGTCCCAAAGTGTGCTGAGGATCAGGCATCGGGCAGGGCGTGTCCCCAGGAGAGGTGGCCTGTGCAGGAGGAAGGAGGCTGACCACATCCCTCCTAAGGGCCAATTATGGCACCAGCAACAGCTACTGGCTCACAGGCTGCCAAGCCCCAGCACCTTGAGGGTATCTTTCCCTTCAGGGTCCTCACCCCTGCCCAGTCACACCCCATGCAAAGCCAACCTACCCAGGTGGGCACCCTAGATCCTTCTCCCCAGATATACAAAATAGTCTAGGTGAGTGCCAAGGGATGCTGGGGCCCTCCTTAACTACAAGCAACCCCTCTCTGGTGGGCAGACTGAGGGCCACTGGCATCTCCTTCTGGTCCCTGGGTTTCCTGACCATCATGTCTGGCCCCCTTCTCAGCCTTGATGCAGGGTTCCTGTTCAGCCCCTGAGTCACTGACCACTGTCTGGCTGACCTCTGCTCTCCCTGCTCAACAGACCTCAGCCCACTTCAGTTAAACAAGGCCAGCATTAGCAGCAGAGGCCCAGGCTCCAGAGCCCACCAAGACACTTGCCAGGGAGAACCCTGTTGTCCAAGGCTGGGCTTCCAGGGGCCTGTTCCAGGAGTCACCAGGCCCTGTCAGGTCCTCCCACAAAGACACCTGAGCCACAGAAGGGGGCGGTACCAGGGAGCAAGGTGTGAGCAGGGGAGCCCTTCTCCGACAATTTCTGATCAATTCAGTTGAGAGGGCATGGGAAGGGGCTGCTGTGTCTGGGAGGGCTGAGGTCGGAGGTCAGGACAGGCACTGCCCACTGCCAAGGGTGATGGCAGCCTGGGGCCTGGGCCTGGGGGGAGGGAGGGTGTGAGGTCAGTCAACAAACTTCTCAGGGAGTCCTCACTTTGAAATTTCAAAGGAAGACAGTGGCATGAGTCATCCCTCCGACCCGAGGCCTGGCTGCAGGCGGCCTCCCTTCCAGTCTTTCTAAACCCGGGCGGGAGCCAGCGCTGGGGGCCTGGCCGCGGCAGCGCGACCC